AAATAAATTTATTTCATTTTACCTATAGATACTCACATTAAGTTTTTTCCTATGTACTGTAGGTACAAAATCTGTTGAACAACCTGTTAAAACACAGCAGAATACAGGAAATGGCATTTATTTCTTTAAAAAAAATTCTGGAGGAGGACCTCCAGACCCCTGCCAGTGGGTCCCCCCAACATTACAAATATTTACTCTTGTTTTTTGTCTTTGAATGCCACAAAATCAATGATATTGTCTGTGAAAATACAAATTGAACATCTCTTGGCAAATCCATAGCTTTATATTGCCATAGTTTTCAATTTGTCATTTTTACAAACACATAATAAAATTTATGTTATAGAAATTACTTTTGGTGTGCCACTCCTGGGTTTTCAGTGGCCCCCCCTGAAAAAAATTCTGCATGCGCCACTGGTTCCACCTCAACTCAAAATTCAGCAAGCATTAATAGCTCAGCTTCTTTCAGCTACGTTATCTCGCAATAAGCATTCACAATGCATTTCTGCTGAAAAATCAATTTCTTTAGTCTATGAGTTAACATCTAAATCTGACTTAACAATTCAGAATTATGACCTAGCATCTTACAATCTTATTATGGCTTAGTATCACAAAATTCTGAGTTAATATCTCATAATTATGGTTTAGTATGCCTATTCCAAATTGAACACCTTGTATCTCAAATTTACGACTTTAAATCTTATTGTTGTATATAAAATATTATTTTAGCTAAAACTTGTGATTTACTATCATAAAATTGTGACTTAGGTCTAATACCTAAAATTTATAACTCAATACCTCAGAATTACATAGTCACATAGTTGTGTATGCATCTCATGACTTATCTAATAACTAATACAAGCTGTGTCATTATTATGATTTGGCTTTATAAAATGCTAAGTCATAATTATGAAATGCTAAGTCATAATAATAAAATGCTAAGTCATAATTATGAAATGCTAAGTCATAATTATAAAATGCTAAGTCATAATTATGAAATGCTAAGTCATAATTATGAAATGCTATGTCATAATTATAAAATGCTAAGTCATAATTATAAAATGCCAAGTCATAATTATGAAATGCTAAGTCATAATTATAAAATGCTAAGTCATAATTATAAAATGCTAAGTCATAATTATGAAATGCTAAGTCATAATAATAAAATGCTAAGTCATAATTATAAAATGATGTCATAGTTTTTGGATGACTTAAATGATCTTTATTCAGAGTGGAGGACATTTCTGTGTGCCTGTTTTTAACTGTTTATGAAAGGTGCACATTTTTTTTTATGTGTCAGGCAGCAGCTGTGAAAATGAAGCCCATCTGTTGATGAGGAAACTTGAGGGGCAGGATCAGGATCAAAGGATGGGCGGTCTGAGCGCGCGCCTCTTCCTCGTGCACGCAGCTCAGATTCAGACTGACTGAAAAGACAACATTTCAGTAGCGGTTCTTTGGGGAAAGTAAAGTTACATGAAAAGGTTTAGTGTGTGTTTCCAGGGATTAAATCTAACCCCTCCCAGTCTGGGAGCCTCCTCCTCCTCACTCTCCTCCTCCTCCTCCATAGTAAAAGCTGCACAGCTGGCAATTTACAGACAAGAACCGCCGTAAGGACCAGACTAATTGCTGGTAGGTTATTTGCACGCTAATTGTCGCCTGATGGTTTGATGGACAGGACGACTTAAACTAAATACCGGAGATATTTATTAATCTTTTGTCTGGGGGGCTCCATACAGACATCATAAGGTAAGAAAAACTGACTGGGTTCAATGTGAAGAAGGTATGGAGCTGCAAAACCAGTGAAAAGACTAGTTAGGTTAAAAAAAACAAAACAAATTTTCTGMGTTAGGCATGTTACTTTTTTCAGAGCAGCTCTAATTAAGTTTAGCCTTTTATATCATTTAAATAAGTTTTTAGGATGCAGATAATTTGTGATAAATTATCTTAATAAGAAGATGTGTTTATTTTAAAGGAGCCCTTTTGTATTTTATTTTTTTTTTGTATCTAAGAATGACAATAGTTTTTGTTCAGTTGTCCCTTGAGGCAGCATGCTTGTATTATGAAAGGCCTGAACATCTGTAACTTGTTATTTAGGCTGTGTTTTGGATTCGGCGTGTAAAATTAAACTGGAATGGGAAGTTGGTGCTTTGATTCAGGCTGAGAGAAGGCAGACAGGTGTGTGAGAAAGCTTAACCCAGATGGGACACCACAGCTTCAAACGGCATGTGAATGGCTATAATTCATTATCTTTTACAGTTACTGAACTCAGTGGTGTTTAACGGGGTGGCCTTATGGGGGCCACTGAAAATCCTGGGGTGGCACCAAAACCCAAAACAAATTTCAGAAATGTGATTAAGCTCTTGTAAAATTGGCATTTGAAAAGGCCAGTAGTGGGCAGAGATCCCCTAAAGCACTAATAGGGGAACTAATTTCATGATTAGTGCTTTAGGGCTTTTGCTCATTTTAAAAATTATTAGTGGATTAGCACTTGCTAAATTTATAGGCTAAATTTAGAAGCACTAACTGAGGTCTATAAATGTTATTGATCAACCTTAAAGTTAACAGCTGAGGGTGAAAACTGTCACTCATTTTGTTCATATGTGTCACTTATCCACTAGGTGACAATTTATTAACAATATACAGCGGGTTAAATAAGTATTGAACACGTCACCATTTTTCTCAGTAAATATATTACTAGAGGTGCTAATG